CTCAAAATCTTCGCGGTAAGTTTCTCTTTACCATAAAATTTGACCGAATAAGTTTCGAAACAATGCGACGGCAAAAAATGCAAAAATCCTGATTTTCGTAATAGAATCTATAGTATTTTTGCCCTGTTGTACCGCCATCTTGGATTTATCATGTAGGCCCCGCCTGCGCTAGGTATGCGTTAGCAATCTAGATCTAATATATCTATGGTGAAAACAGACCTACGTTCCGCCCGCCCTAAAATTCGCAGGTTGACGGAGCCGTTAGACTTGCTCCAAGTCTCTCTTTCATTGTCATATGGTATCAATCCACTATAGTGTACATTACATGACGTACTACGGAGGGGCGGAGCGAGAAGGAGAGACTTGTCAACTTCGGAAAATCTCGGTTGAAAACTGAACAGAAAATGCAAGACTTGCTTTAATTGTTTTCCTTCAATTTCTTTCTGTATTATTTACTATAATGGAACTCATGTTATTTACACTGTGCTAGATCAATACATATAAACACTGACAGAAAACAATTAAAGCAAGTCTTGCATTTTCGGTTCAGTTTTGAACCGAGATTTTCCGAAGTTGACAAGTCTCTCTTTCTCGCTCCGCCTCTCAGTGCTACGTCATGTAATGTACACCATAGTGGATCGATATGACAATGAAAGAGAGACTTGGAGCAAGTCTACGGATCCGTCGACCCGCAAATTTTAGGGTGGGCGAAACGTAGGTCTGTTTTCAGGCTAATCAAAACCATGAAACGTTATGACACAGAATACTATACAGAAGTCGATTTCCATTGTTTTTTTTGCGTAAGCACTATTCGTCATGATTGATGATTCGTCACTCAGCAAGTACCGTAAACAGAAGCAGTCGCCCCCCCCCCAGAGGTCGCCCCCCTGGTTATGATGCGCTAGCGCTTATAACGTTTGGTACAACTGGCCTGAAACTTAATATATTGATTCAATAAGTTTAATATCAATATATTTATTGAAAATTGGCTATTATGTCAAAATAAGAAAACTTTAGATTATCACGCGAAAAGGCAATGTTTTTATGAGCAACTGTTCATCGTTAGTTGCAGGCGACGGTAATATAAACAAGGTCAAGGTTTTATCGAAAGCGATTGACTGTTAGATTTCCTTTACTATTTTATAACTAAATAATGTTATTTCCTACAAATTTAGCTTTATTGTAGCCTTATTGAAAGTATAAAAAAAACATGGAAACGGTGAATTACTACAGATTGAAAATAATTGTTAAACTACGATTGAAATTATCGACGTAGAATGCTATTTCGTTGTAATTTCAATAGTATTAATGAGAATTTTGTTTGTTATTTTTAATATATTTCATGTTATTTACAAAATTTACTGTAGTTTTGAAGTTTTGCACACAATATAATCAATGCGAGCACAATAACTCCACTTCAGTTTGAGTATTATATTTAAATTTAGTATTTTGATAGCGTGCATGCATGGCCTTTCACGCTATATTACGCCTGATAAATAATCAGTGCGAGCACAGCGGCTCCAAAATCACAACAAAATAACAGAATATAAAGTAAATTAAAACAGCAAAGCTTTACCTACCTCGATGTATTTTTCTAAGGCGCTCGACTATGTAAATTTTCTGCGAATCTATGCATTTGCTCGACGAAAACCATGGAAGAAAACGTGCACACGATTCAAAATTTATAATTATGCTTATTGTTATTATGCTCGTCCCACGTGATCTGCCGCAAGTTTCACCACCAACGGACACGAAATTTTAAGCTATATGATAGTTGCATGCCATATATGGGCATGCAACAAAAAGCAAACATTTAATTCATTTAGGTTAATTTAACTACCGGTTACCTATGCATTGAAATCCAGTGGTAAATAACATACACTTCCAAGCTGCCCCGTATAATTTTGGATCTAATGTGTAGACTAGCTCAAGTGGCTGACAACTTTCGAAAAATGGGTTGCTTAAATGTTTACGGTTGCAAATTTGGGATTTTTGCGTCAAAGAATGCATGAGTTCTTTCCGTTGTTAACGTTGTTTACTACGAATTTCTATCCCAGATTACAGGACGAAACTAATTCCAATTGGTTAGCAAAATTTGTTTATTTTTTCCCTTTCCGAATAAGAGTTTTTCCTCTAAACATAATTACCCATCTTCTTAATCATCCCGTATATACGTATAAGAAAAGACGTGTTTCAGTATTTGTCCAGGTTATGTCGAAATCTTTTTTGTTTCGGTTCATTACCAAATATATTTCAAAATGTCAATCATTTTAGGATTTTTATATGAGTGATATCGCCCAGGCAAGGTAATCCATGCACTCCGTGGATTCCGGATTCCATTCCTTGGATTCCGGATACACTACTTGGTTTCTGGATTCCAGATCTGTTGTGGATTCCGGATTCCAGGAAATTGGTCCAGGGTAAGAATTCCGGGTTTCTAAAATGTTTGGATTCTGGATTCTATACTGTCTGGATACCGGATTGAAAAGTTATTAAAACACGCTTTCTAGATTTACTGTGGTTTTGATGTTGTTTCAGGGTGCACGTTGTCATTCCAATATATATATATATATATATATATATATATATATATATATATATATATATATATATATATATATATATATATATATATATATATATATATATATATATATATATATATATATATATATATATATATATATATACACATATATATATTCCGAGAGTGATGGCAGTACGGGAAAATATCCAACCGATGTCTTGCTGTAGGCTATTGGCCGAGCGATAGCGAGGTCAATACAGCAAGACCGAGGTTGGATATTTTCCCGTACTGCCCGAACGGTTGAGGTCAGTAAGTTTTTTTTATATGGCATTGTACGTTTGTAAAAAATGGAAAAAAAGGTCACGCGAGGGCAAAGTACAAAGTCCGAAACATTTGCAAAAAAGAACAATTGTAAAAAATGTTCTAAAGCTTGGTTAGTAAAACTACTCTACAGCACTTTTTGTATAGAATACTAACACAGTTGGATAGTATTTCAAGAAAAATACGAGGTATTTTGTCATTTAATCAAAGACAAAGACAACAAATATGAAAACAATAAAATTAATAAACAGTATGTATATATGGACAAGTACGTTTTTAGTTCGCTTCATCTCATAAATATATCTCTTTTTATCGAAAACCCCCAGAAATTTTCAGGAAAAAAATATAAATCTGTGGCAGCTTTAGTTGTATTTTTATTTAGGATGGTGTCAAATTCCTCGGCTATCTGCAAATAAGATTTGCAGCTCTTCACAAAGTCAAAACACAGCTATTCCTGACTTCTTTAATAGTTATAAACATTGTAAAATTTACCTTGTAATTCCGACTTTCGCTAACAAAAAGGCATATTGAGAAAGTTCTTTAACGGCCAAAGAAGGTGCTTCTTTCCTTTAGTTTAGGTTTATTTTTCTTCGTTTTCAATAGTTTTGAAAGACTTTTAGACATTTTTGCAGTTTGAAACTCGGCTCTTGTCGCGGGGCAAAGAAATTGCGTATTGCCCGTGGGCAATACGGGAAAATCCTGCCTCGTCAGCAGCCAATCAAATTGCGCGATTCATCAAAACAAATGCTTGCCATATAATAATACACTTTATTACACATTATATACACGCAGCTATAGGATTTACGTTCTCGGTTAAGTAATCCTATATCAAGACATATAAGGGCCTTCGTTGCTATATGGAGTCAACGTTTGAGCCGCATCCCCTGGCAAAATTAATCCTTGCCCTACCGCGTTTCTACCACCATGCTTGTTGGGCTTCGCAATAAGGCAATAATTCGACATGACATGTAAATTGGAGGGAAATAAAACATTGATATAATATTCGTGATTTCCTCTCACAAAGGATTGGTAAAATTTTGCCGTAATTGCTGCCGTAATGGCTAATTTTAGTCAGCTGAGCTAGCTGATCTTTATTATCTAGGATTAAAAGTTATTAACTTGATTATAGATAATAGATCTTTTTGCGCTAATCGATGTGACCAATTTAGAATGCTTGATGGGCAAAGGCCTTGCTGTAAATAAATAATTGTTTCAAATGCTTATTTTTGAAGGGCCGGTTGTATAAAAATTCTACTCTAATTAGCGTTAACTGCATTTGAAAAGTCGTTAAAAAGTAATCAAAGTTATAACTATGCCCTAATTAAGGTATCGCCGCAGTAAGGAGTTGACAATATTTCCAGTAACACAGTAATGCAAAGCAACACTAGATGGAATTTTCTGTCGCCATCTTTCCTAAGAATGTTAGGCTTATATGACAGTTCCAAATTGTAAAAACGCTAATTCTTGGCTTTTTTCGAGAACATAATTCCCGAACCAACGGCGCGTACCACCGTTCCGGGCGTTAGCCCGGGCGAGGGTACTAATTCCGCCCGGCTATTTACACCTGGGGAAAGGAACGCACTAGTGAAGTCTAAAGTTCATCAAATACCGTGCGCGCATGGCTATGATCCAAGGGTAGACCTCCTCACTGATCTAAAAAGTATGGCTGTTTGCCTGGAGTGGGATAAGCGCATAGACGATATTAAAGCAAGATTTCAATTTTCAAAAGCATAAATTTGGAAAATCACGTTTCCCAAAATTATCTTATTGTGTTGCCATGGCAACACTGACGTAAACGCGATCCTGCGCTCATCAGTGTTGATCAATTACTAATACTTCATGTTAAATCAATGTTTGGAAAATCAGGGCGAGGGACTTGCTGCATGCATGTATTTCTAGTATATATTTGCACGGGAAGATTTCTGAAAGACGATGTAAGACCCACTACACTAGGAAACATGAATCAGATATATAATTACCAAAAAGCTACACTTTTGTTTAAATTACCGTATAGACATCTCGCGGTAAAACTTCTTTGCCTTTGCCTTGTCTTCCTGTTTATTTTTTCACTGTTATGCCAGTCAAATTGCTGTCAATATTTATGTTAAAATGCTTGTCAGCGGTCGTTAATCACACATTACTTCATTCACTTTTTTACTTTATTGACTTTATTAAAAACGGCCAGTACTATTTCACAAGATTAATTATTTACAAACATATTAAAGGTGATGTAAATCGGTCGTGCGCATACGTTCTGCGCAGGCCTACAATGCAATGGTCGGGTCCCGACCATCAGAATGTTCTTAATATTTCGCACCTTCCGAACTTTCTTGAATTGAATCTTTAGTCTGTATTAATTCACAAGCATAGCGAAGCAGAAAATTGTTAAAAATTCAGTATAAAATATATCTAATCATTACAACTCTAGCACTTAGTCGAAAACGTAAACAAAGCGTTTGTTTACATTACGGATTTTACAGATAGATAGATAGCTAGATAGATATTTAATAAGGGTTTTTCAGAAATTATTTACAGTTACATGCATACAGTAATAATTAAGGTTACAAATACAAATATAAGTTTAAACAATTATCAAAGACTATATACAAAGTATAGTTGGTTATACTAAATGTTATCTTCTTCACATCACCTTTAATGAGAAATAAAGAAGAAGGGAAAAAGGATAACGTGATGTTCACTCAAATTATCAATGGTTTTAAAATTTGAATTCAAAAGCTGGAAATAAATTTCCAGTATTATAGTATATTTTATTGCAGTGGAAAGGTTATTCCAAACCTCATCACCATGGTTCAAGTCCATCTCTCAAGTGGTTGAAAATAGCGATGCACTCTAGCGATCAAATAGGGCGCCAAAATACGAGGGAAAAGTAGGGAGAGACGGACTTGTATACCCTGCAAGCGCGCCAAATTATACCGTCGCATTTTTCCTGCGGAGGCGTGGCTTGCGATTTGAGAACAACAACAAATTTTCGCGCCAATTTTTGAAAGTAACATTCGAAATGCTGCAAATGTCCCAAGTCCTTCTCTCACTATATTTTTTTTTCTGAGACGGACTTGAGCCAAGTCCGCCAATAGACAAAAGCCTTTTTCATATTGTTCGTTTTTTGGCGTAAGTAATGCCAAATTGATTTCCCTGCTTCTCGTATAATAATATACATAAAAATATTACTCGACTGTGATTGGTTCATGTCTTGGCAGTTAATCTCAAACTGCAGTGCATGTTGTTGTAATCACAGTGCAATTTGTTGTAATCACAGTGCAATTTTCAGTTATCACAGCGCACAAACCAGTAACAAACTGTGGAAAAACAATATGATGATAAAATCAACTAATCATTTTCTGTGGGTTGGTGTTATGTACCCAGGTGTATATGATGTTGCGATGTTACTCTGAGCGTGCATCCACACCGGTACCACAGGAGCCGGCCCATCCCGGGTCTTATCGAAGTTATGTATTAGAATTACGTATGAAATATATAGCTCAGTGTTGAAACCTGCGACTTGCGGGCTGTGTGCGGGCTAACGCGCGTGTTGAATACACAATAAAGAAAATAATATTGCCTCGAAGCCCAAAATTCAAAGCACAATATCATTGTGGTTAAATAAAAAAGGTTAGAGTTTTATTATGTTGTAAGGTCCACTAGGGCCTGTTCTTTCATATCGTCTAGCCAAAACCTTACAAATAGTTGCTAACGAGGAGATATATTTCAATTGATCGCACAGCAGTGAACGTTTGGATGTGTCGGGATGTGTTCCACAGGTTGTTATGACATGCTGAAATGCTTAATTATTTCCTACTACACACTCCACAGATCTCTACAATCATTTGGAAAATATTAATATTAAACAGTATTGTAGTTGTTGGCATATTCGAATATAATACACATATAAAATTTTAAAAACATATAAATCAAATTTCAAAATCAGTGATCGGCCCGTCGCTCGGTCGGACGTGAAAATTTCAAAAATATATGAATTAACTTACCAGTAAACCGCAAATTTTTTTGATTTTGCAAATTAGTTGCGGATGACAAGTTTGTAATCAGAAAGGTAATTTCTGAAAGACGTTCTTTTGCAGAAATTTATGGAAACTTAAGTCGATAATTTGTCAATGTCATAGCAACCTATGGAACGCATGCTTCCAGGCACTCATCGATGTTGCTATTTCCTTTATTGTGTATTCAAAGCGCGCGTTAGCCCGCACACAGCCCGCAAATCGCAGGCTTCGACACTGAGCTATATATTTCATACGTAATTCTAATACATAACTTCGATAAGATCCGGGATGGGCTCCATGTGTTCACACCGGGCAAGCTGAAAAGTTAACTTGGCCATGATGGGAGTCGAACCCGCGACCTAGTATTCCAAAAATCGCGCGTTCGATTCCCAGCGTAGAGAAGCTAACTTTTCAGCTTGCCCGGTGTGCACATCGCAACATCAACCAATCAGTTTAGAGCATGCAGTTCTCAAGTAACTGTCACACTTTGCTTTAAAACAAAACAAACATGACGCCGCTATATATAAAGGTTGAATTCGGTTGGAAAGTATGGCTTTTATTATTTTTTTAATGGAAAAGCCTTTACCCATGGCCAGAAATTGCGGACATGGATTCTGAGCATGTGCGAACTTTGACAAACAAAATGGCGGATTTGTTATATATAAATCATTAGGAGCGGCGCGGTTTTTTTAAATTTAAACTTGTCTGATAATGGCTATGTCATTTGCAGACTTCGCAATAATAAAAATTATATCTGGGCCGTAAAACAGAAAAGTTTCGCATCGAAATCTTACCTATAACTTGTTCCATTATTCAAGTTCACTTTATAGTACATCGGCGTATAATAAAGTATAGTAAAACTTGAGAAAATCGTTGAAAACGTACATTTGCTCGCGCCGCATTATCCCTCGAACGCTTCATGAAATTTGCAGATATTGCGTCGTAAAATAAAGGTTGTCTCCTGCTTGTCTGCATAATTTTATAGTTATACGAATTTTTTAACTTGTTCCAATTTACGGGACAAAATGTTGATATTTTACCCATAATACCCTGTCCATAGGCCGTAAAGCATTGCAAGAAGAACGACGTTTCATGAATTGTCGTCCATGTTTGATATCAACAAGAAGCTTAGGAACCACGCTTTCTTCCAGTGTGGGCTACACGGAGGGATAGCGAAATATACACAAAATATTTGAGTCGTTTACCATGCGCATCACTTTATATCCCATCATAATAAATGAAAGGTATGTAAAAGGCCGACAATACCTAATATATATATCTATTTTTCTGCTTTAGTTAAACAAAAAACTAAGCAAAATGTAGTTTTTAGTTAAAACGTGCGTTTGTTAGGGATGAATAACTTTTCATAAGAAAAACCGCTGAGATATTTTGCGGGCGCATGTCCTGAATTTCTGTCCATGTAAAACAAGACTAACAAAACATACATATAGTTGACTGGAATTTTCATGCTGTTAGCGTTGTATAATGTCATATAACAAAGCCCGAAAAATGTTGCCAGTGGACGGTTCACGATAAACTTACGTTAAAACAAAAGTTTTTTATGTATATTATTAATTTAAAATATAATAGGATAGTTTTTCGTGGAATTTGGATGAACCAGGCACTGGTGAGTTTTTCAAAGACCTCAAAAACAACTTTCGTCCTTCGGACTCGCGCTGTTTTGATGCTCTTTGAGAAACTCAGTCTTGCATGTTTTTTTTTTCCAAATTGCACGTACTAGAAACCATCCTATTACCTATGCTAACAACGGTAGTTAACCCATACAAATTGCAACTAACTTTAATAACGTTTTTATACAACCGGCCCCAGGCACGTTTTTCTACGTATTTACCTCAACATTTTTCTACATTATCTCAAACCGACTGCTCCTGCTGGGCATTTGCATTCAAACCCTCTATAATGCCTCCAAAAACCATGTCATTTGACACTTTGTTGGTTGTGATGCCATTCCAGAATAACTGTTCATCGCAGCCATCGCCAAAGTCGTTATTTTCCTCAAGAGAAAGTCGGAAATGGATTAGTTTAACAACTAAGGTTGAGAAATATGTGATTATAGAGTTAGGTGTTAATTTTGTTGCAGTCTCATGACGACCAATGTCATTCATTCATTCATTCATTAACCCATCACAGTAAAAGGGAAGGTAGAGGTCCAACTAAAATCTGAGGAACTAGAAACTATATGAATGTTTTTAGTTGTGGATGGATTGTCAGAATCAGTACTAGGTGCACATTTTATTGACAATCACCACCTGGACTCATGGAGAATTAAACTGGACGGGTTATGGCTATGTCTACATGTCATGTTTGTTCCTCTGATTACTCAAAATAAATGTGAAACAGCTTGATTGGAAATTTCGTTACTGTTTCTGCACGTTCCACTGTCGAATTATCCGCAAAGGCGTGAATGTATTCATTCATATTGGTCTCGCGTGAATCTATTCACTCATATTGAACGCCACAGGAATTATGGGTCATGGATTGACCAATCAAGCTCATATCCAAACTGGTGTGGCGAAAGCCACTCAACGTTGGCTGTGGGTACGAGATGAATTGAAATATAAGTATATTTAACGTTGTTATATATTCGTGGCGTTTGAATTCGTATACTATCCGGTCGTGTTGCTATGATATAGCTTTAATTTACCTGGTTTAATTGTTCATCATCTTCTTCATAATCTAAAGTAAACAAAATGATTATTGCAGTAAGTGAACTTTTGGCCAGAAAAAATCGTTTAAATTTACAGCTCTATATTGTACGTAATTCCAGAAACTTAATTTGAGCATGTGGACGATATCTGCATGGAAGACAACTTGCAACGAACCGCTGTAATCAGAATTTGAAATAATGACCTAGAATTTCTTTCACCTATATTTTTATTTCCTGCTGTTCATATCAAGCCCGACTATGTTCTGTGTAAAATATCAATTAATATCAGAACAAACATAATCAAACCCTAACCCATACATAATCTTCATACTGATATATCAAAGCAGTCTGTGTAGAAAACACGCGATGCGAGAAGGGCACGCAAGAGGAAACTTAGGAGAGAGGAAAGGTGTCGGAACTCCGAACTTTTGCTGTTCTATTTCAAAAAAATATATGCGATTCCGAAATTGCATCTTTTGGTATAAGTACTGATAAAACTGCATGAGATATAGGTGAATATTTAACAGTTATTCTACGAACTCGAGTCTTTACTTTAAATGAGCTTTATTAGCACGACCCCCAAAAAATTACAGGTATTGCTAAGGCATTTTTTAGAATAACAGTTAAGGATATATAAAAAAAAAAGTTTTTTCTATTTACAATTTTTGAATTATATATAGGCTAGTGTATTGAAGATATATCACCGTTATCACTGTTCGTGATGTTGTAGTGTTTCAAGAGTTTCTGGCTTCAATGCATTCATTTCGTCTTATGAAACAACTATGAATGAATTTTGAAAATTCATTCTGTAGTATAGAATCACTAGATGACATGAAGAATAAACCATCATCATGGCATTCTAGGTTCAACGCAAAATTTCTCTGTATTTTTTAAATAAAAATATTTCTAATTTGAGCATTATTTTTACATGAAAGGACGAAATGGTAATCGTCTTCAATTTCCCCAGATTCGCAAAATTCGCAAATTCTTTCCTCACGAGTAATGTTTTGATAGCGACCACATTCAATGCGTAGTTTATGGCAGCTTTTACGAAATTTGCTAAGTGTTGTTCGTTGCGGTTGTTTTTTATTGCTATGAGGTAATCTTCTAATTTGTATTCGTTTTTAAACGAGCTGTAGAAAGATAGCTTGGATGAGTTATTCAAGTTGTGTTGCCAGAATGTCGTGTTTTTGCTTTTGGCAATATCTAGACAAGATTGTATATGCGAGTTACTTAAGAGTTCTAGCTAATTCAGACCATTTGTTTGTACTGTATAGGTCTTAAGTATGTGTATTGCGTTGGAGTAAAAGCTTGATTTGTTATTTAGATAAAGATCTTTGGATATAAGAAAAGCTTGTTTTGCTAAAGAGGCATCAGGGAGAGAGTTAATATGGATAATGTATTTCATTAGTCTCTTTAATATGGGGAGTAGAAGTGGATATTTACCCAATTCACCTCAGCAAGCTATGTTAGTTGCCTTGCGATTTACGCCAAGATAAGTTTTACAAAATTTTAAGTGAATTTTTTCAGTGGGCGATTGGTCCCATTATCTAAAACCCCGACTATGAATCAACCCCCAATAATTTAGAAAAACTGTAAAAATCTTTCACCAAATCACACTCAAATAATGTAATTGTCGTCATAATATAATGATAATGATAATATGTTTCTGTATTGTACATGTCACAACATATGTATTTTGTACACTCTTTTTGACGGATACTAGCGGGTCAACTTTTTGCAACAGGCACTTCTTTAAGTGTCATTGTCCATCTTTTGTTGTTTTCTGAAGCTTATTACCATTGCTTAGCAGCGAAATTTCCTGCTGCACAATAACATTTGAATGCGTATTAAACTATTAAGCCCAAAAACAAATGATAATTCAAATGACAAACTTAGCAAATAAATGTTTACATTGTCATTGGCATGTTTTCTCGTTTTCAAAACGTCGGAAATTCAGTTTGAGCCGCCATTTTGTTTTTCTCTACTAGCAGGATACGAGCTAATATCCTGCTAGTAGAGAATCAATCTGATTGCAGAATACCTCATATCCGGACCTTGTGTAAATAATAATTAAAGATATTCCAGCTCACATATTACAGTCTATTTGTTCCATAACTTGCATGGAGATGACTTCCAACCAAAATATTAATGCGGTTGGAAATTTCAGGGATGTAAGTGTACATACTCAAATGACTTATTTTAAAACGTAAAACACTGTTATCAAACAGTTTTGAAAAAACGGTGGTTGATCGGCTTGCAATCCGATCGTTTCTGTTGACAAAATGTTGGGGAAGAAACTTATCGAACTTATACCGTATAGCAAATGAGAAAAGCAGCGCAGTTTCAACCCTGTCCTCTCTCCTAGCATTTTCCCTCGCAAATCGAGTGATATTTCGAATCGCGTGTTTTATACACTGACCGCTTTCATAGGCTATAACTATATGCATAATACTCTCCTCGCGTGTTTCTGCACTGACTGCTTTCGTACAACTGCATGATCTATGGATATATTTGCAGCAACTTTGTATTCATATTTATTGATATTTTATAGATAGGAAATATTAGGGCTCCCAGTGCTCATAATATATGCAGCGCGTGGAAAGCGTTTGTATTGAAAAATAACCGCATCGTTTGTTGATCATGATGAAGCGTTCCACTCAAGCTCTACATACCTTCGCATTCGATAGATTGGCGCATTAAACTATCTACATTGACATAGGTATTTTCATTATGCTCAAGATCCCACAATTTATCTGATAGTGCAGCAAATGTAGGTCTGTCTTTTGGAAGATGACTCCAACACCTTACCATTATCTCATATCTAAAGCAATGAAGTAAGTCTAATTATTACTTTGACGGTTCCATTTAAAAGTCTTACATTAAAAAGAAAGTGAATAAATTGATAATATTACTGAAATTAACTAGGGATTACTACATTTTAATTAGCGAAGTGTACACCTAAAATTCTGAAATAAAAGTAGATTTCCGCTCAAATGAAAAATATTAAATTCAATCATGCTTTCGCTCGCTACTCTCGTTTAAATAAATTATTACAAAGCCCAGTCGATACTCCAACCTAGTGCCTTCATCATGGGTGATCTAAAGTTGCAATCATGCAACGATTGAATGAATATATATATATATATATATATATATATATATATATATATATATATATATATATATATATATATATATATATATATATATATATATATATATATATATATATATATATATATATGTATGTATATGTATATATATATATATATATATATATATATATATATATATATATTTATATATATATATATATATATATATATATATATATATATATATATATATATATATATATATATATATATATATATATATATATATATATATATACTTTTATATATATATACCTTTACAAAAATTCCACATGATTTCACATGTGAAATTTCACATGTGAAATTATGTTTCACATGTTCCAAATTCACATGTGAAACTTCACATGTGAAATTTCACATGTGAAACACATAATTTCACATGTGTTCACATGTGAAAAATCACATGTTCCAAATTCACATGTTCCAAATTCACATGTGAAATTTCACATGTGAAACTTCACATGTGAAACACATAATTTCACATGTGTTCACATGTGAAAAGTCACATGTTCCAAATTCACATGTTCCAAATTCACATGTGAAATTTCTCATGTGAAACTTCACATGTGAAACACATAATTTCACATGTGTTCACATGTGAAAAGTCACATGTTCCAAATTCACATGTTCCAAATTCACATGTGAAATTTCACACGTGTTGACATGTGAAACTTCACATGCAAGATATCACATCTTCCAAATACACATGTGAAATATCACATGTTCCAGTTTCACATGTGAAATTATGCAAAGCTTCAATCATGCACATTTAAACCTGTCAAACAGTGAGATACTGTAATGGTATATATAGGAAGAAATAATTTATTAAATACAGTTAATTTCTACAAATGTTTAGCTACCATACAAAATAATTTATAATAAAGAAAAAACTTAGCAGTTCAAATGTCTTCTGCAATATTTCTTCTTTTCGTATCAGCATTTCTTTTGTCTTTGCGCTTTTGGGCCATGCCAGCTTTCACTGATGAAGCTGTTGCTCCCGCAAAACGTTAAGTCAAATGAGCTATAAGAAAGGAAATACAAGACTATTGTTAGCTCTACATATTTCATGTACTGTAACTCCAGTCAGTTAACATTCCAGTATATAGCACAAGTTCACAGTTCGCATGCAGCAATATGAGCAATTCCCTCCTGTCCAACCTATAAACTTTGCACATTATTACGAATAGGAAGGCCTAATGTAGTAGCACAACCCAACCTTTGGTTGAAGTTGGTTCTAGTATTATCATAATTGATAACCCTTGGTTCATATGGCTTTTACCCCGAATCGTCCCCAGTAATGTATTCTCTGTGTGGCAAATTGGAAACTGCTGCAAGGCTATCTTCTCGACAAGTAAAACTCTAAAATTTGCTGGCATTAGACAGAGTAATATAAAGTAGAGCATATTGCCAATGAATGGGTTAACAAGAGAAATATGCACTAGATAGGATTTGTTAACAGACATCTCAACAGCGCCCCCAATATTTTGCGAGGTATCTGCTACTGGTTGTTGGTATTTGTGATTTAATGTGCTATTGGCTCATTTCAGAAAACATTAAATAGATTCATAAGATTATGATTTACCCTTAGTTACATTGGAGAGGAGTGCTACTTGTTTCAGTAACCCACTGAGTGATATCACTGACAAGTAAAATCATCTGACATTGGGTCATTCCAGAGAACATCGATACCTCCCCCATGAAGGAAATTGGAAGTTACTGTAACCTCCTATTCCCTTCGAAATTCGAATGTCCTAATACATTTACTATTATCAGAAACAATTCTTCTCCCCTACCCTCCAGATGGTAGAAATTTCCTCTGTGCATAGGGGAGAGTGGATCTTTTCTGGAACTAACCATCGGAGAGAGTAAAACAATACAGTTGTGGCACAATGCAGCTTATGCATGTCCAGCCTAGTGTAAGTGTAATATCCAGTTAACACCCCATCTTAATGGCCTCCAAACTTCTTGAGAAGTATTCCTGTTTTGGTGGTTAATTAAATGGTTAATATGGCCATGTGTCTAGTGAACCCATTAAGTTGTATTGTACACTTGTGTGTCCTACTTCCTTATTTTACTGTCTTTTAAATGCCAGATTATTGTACTCTGTCTAATGGCAGACCATTTTACTCTCAAGGCTAAGTGGATCATCAAGTACGCTGGTGCATACTCTTGTAATTAATGGTTATTTATATGTTAATTCAATCTAGCTTTGGATGCACATGTAAAAAGAATACTAGTTTTATGCTGTTGTAAGCTTAGACTGTTTTTATAAAGTCTGTAGTAATTATCCAATCATTTGATCCATTTAATTATAATTAAATTGCTTTTTTAAATAATTATTACAAAGTGGCTATATTTTCAGGCCTGTAAACAAACTTCACCAGGCTATATTTATGGCACTCTCATTCTTAGTCTCCACACAGGTTATATTTATAGTTAAAGTCAAATTCAAAGAAAACTAACTCTAACCTCTAGACCCCTAAAAAATAAAACTAATCAGAAAAAAAGACATGTTTAGTTAAGGTGAACAAAATCCTGTCCCAACTCGGGTTAGAACCACTGACTACAGCACAGCAGCCATCTGCCTAACCTTCTGATCTATTTTTGAGCTTGCTGAAATCCCTCATAAACAATAAATTTTATAGTGCTGGTTTAGTACATAAGAGTGCTGTTCGCCTGTAAATTATAATAGCCTGACAAAGTCTGTTTAAGGTTAGATATACTGTAGCCAGTAATGATTTTTCTATGTTGGTGTAATGTACTAAGGAATTCATATGATGCTTGTGATGTTACTCTGAGTGTATAATTATCCACACCAGGCAAGCTTAATTAATTTTAAAAATATGCCTGACCACGGTGGGAATAGAACCTGCGACTTTTGGAATACTAGCCCAATGCTCTGCCACTGAGCTACGCGGTCAGATTGGTTTGAATATGGGATATTTCAGAACAGAATCTATAGTTCCTTCGATATCAATGTAATCTAATAATCAATAATGATTTTTCTAGTTCCTTCGATTACATTAATTTGATATCGAAGGAACTAGATTCTGTTCCGAAATTTCACATATTAGAACCGATCTGACCACATAGCTCAGTAAGTCAGTAGGCAGAGCATTGGACTAATTAGTATTCCAAAGGTTGCAGGTTCGATTCCCACTGTGGCCAGACATATTTTTCAAGCTTGGCCGGTGTGGATATACACTCAGAGTAACATCACAAGCATCATACTGTAGCTACTTTGTAAATATTATGACACCGCCGGCATGATCCAGCATGCAATATGAACTCTATCAACTATTTAGTAATTAAAGTGAATTAAATATTCTATCTGGCCTAGACAGGATCCCACCTGCCAGGACAAGAAACTCTCATATAAGTACTCTATCATCCCTGCCAGGTGGGGTGTATTCCGTCTATATTAAACACACCATCCTGGATTAAAACCTACTGTCCAGTCATGCCATTATCATATAAACAGGCACATATATACAGGGTAAACTCTAGAAGGGTTTAGCTTTGAAATCCTTCAAGCTCAAGCTAGCAAAAGTTTATACTTTTTTACCATATTGTGGGAAACACTAACCACTTAGTCGTAATGCGCCCTGATGCAATCAATAGTCGTGTTTACACTACCATCCTTGGCCTAGGCTTGTGGAAATGGCCTAGCCTTGCCCTGACCTAGGCCAGGAAATCTGGGCTCACTACTTGTAACAGACCTGGTCTAAGCCTCAGAGGCTTGTGGAAATATAAACACTTTCGGCCCTGGCCGGGGCCTCATTTTCATGGCAATGTGTGTCCACAGCACAAAAGATTAGCTGACAACCAGCGGACAAAGTGAGCCTGTCTCAAAAAAATAGTGCCTGGCCAACGCTAGGCCAAGGTTTGTAGTGTAAACACCACTAATTTTACTCTGTCTAACCCGGCCAGTGACCCTAGGCAGAGTTAATGCCTAGGTGATTTTACTTGCCAAGGGGAAAGAGCTTGGCACTCAATGACTTGAAAGGCCTTGGAAATCCAGGGGAGAGGCTTAAATAAGCTTGTAGCAAACCCATATTTATATTCATATTCACATATTTTAACATATTGTTTCTATAAAATAATACTGTGCGGGTTCAAAGATGCTTTCTCGAGTTTTGTCAAAGTGCAACCCAGTATTTAATATGTGCTTATTCAAAATTTGAATTGTTGGTTTTATCTGGCGGCACTGAAATGAAATCATTTCAATATATCAAATCTCGCGCGCGCAAATTCAAATTTTATTAACAGCCACATGTTCAGGTCAGGCTAGCCACAAGATAAAATGAAATATAAATAGGGTCGATGGACGTTATAATTATGTGATAAAAAGAGTAATAATACATACCTGAGATCAATAAGCCTTTAGCAGGACTTAGAGTCACATATCCAATCGAAATATAGCTTTTCTTCAGCGAAATATAGCTTTTCTTGAGCGAAATATATCCAAACGAAAAAATCGAAAATTTGCAAATCACACTCAACACTTGATACGCGATATCCCACAACTCATTGCGCGCGTGGCACTTGTCTTCTAAAATAGATACGCCAAAAAGCGCTCCCTAGCTTTACTATGCGATTTTACAAAGGATTTGAAGTAGTATTAAACTTCATTTCAAATTTTTTTCTGATTATAAGAATATTATTCTAGGTTGGACAAATGTTATTCTTAAAATAAGAAAAAATTTCTCGAATATTCCAATTGTTGCCCTGTTCTCAAAATGAGATTTTTTTCTTGAAATATTGCTTGATATTAAGAAATAATTACTTAATTAAGATAAGAAAAATAATCTAAAAAATAAGAATATTATTCTAGACTACTTTTTGATGTTTTGCAGTGCATGATTTTATGTGAAATTTCACTTTTACTTCATGTGAAATCCTTTCACATATGAAATTTCACTTTTTACTTCATGTGAAATATTTCACATGTGAAATTTCACTTTTTTACTTTTATATAAAATCATTTCTCATGTGAAATTTCACTTGTAATTTCATGTGAAATCTTTCACATGTGAAATTTCACTTGTAATCAGTGGCGGCGCTAGGGGGGAGGGGGCAAGGGTGGATGCCCCCCATTATATTTGCCTCCTCCCGATTTTGCCCCCCCCCCTCTCTCAAAAAAAATTATTAGACACTGAGAGCGACTAAAGGCTACACAAGCGTTTTGTCGTTATCGGATAATGTATGGTTTATAAGTTCTCATTACTCATTAGTCATTAGTGAATGCGCGTATAATACTGTTTTTACAGTTTCAATATTAGTTTGTAAATCTCTGAATGGTAAAACTTGCAAATACTCCAATAATACGTTTCAAAAAAGACAAAAAAAGCTTTAGTTTTGCAGAATTAAATTCTCAAACGTGTAAGGCACTAATAAGATGAACGTATCACGAAATTTGAATAAACCACATCGCATATATGGGGGGGGGCGAATATCCTAAAGAGGGGCGATATTCCTATGGGGGGGGAGTGATCAATCTCCTCGAGGGGGGAAGTCCTATGATAACAGCATGGGTAAATAGCACTACCTATTTAACAATTCTATCTTGCCCCCCAAAAAATATGAGTTTGTCCCTCAAATTTTCTCCTCCCCCCAATTTCATGTGAAATCCTTTCGCATGTGAAATTTCATTGTAACTTGTAATTTCTTGCGAAACCTTTCACATGTTAAATTTCTGTCGAAATTTCATGTGAAATATCCCTTCACGTACATGTGAAATTTCAGTTTGTAATTTGTAATGACATGTGAAATCCTTATCTTTTCACATGTGAAATTTCACTTGTAATTTCATGTGAAATCTTTTCACATATGTGAAATTTCAATTGTACATGTAATTTGTAATTTCATGTGAAATCCAGTTTCACATGTGAAACTTCAGTCGTAATTTCATGTGAAATCCTTTCACGTACATGTGAAATTTCACTTTGTAATTTGTAATGTCATGTGAAATCCTTATCTTTTCACATGTGAAATTTCACTTGTAATTTCATGTGAAATCTTTTCACGTATGTGAAATTTCACTTGTAATTTGTAATTTCATGTGAAATCCTTTCACATGTGAATTGTCACTTGTAATTTGTAACGTTCATGTGAAATCTTTTCACATATGTGAAATTTCACTTGTTAATTATAATTTCATGTGAACTCCTTTCACATGTGAAATTTCACTTGTAATTTCATGTGAAATCCTTTCACATGTGAAATGTCACATGTAATTTCATGTGAAATACTTTCACATGTGAAATGTCACATGTTATTTTATGTGAAATCTTTTCAGATGTGAAATCTCACATGTGATTTCATGTGAAATCTTTTCACATGTGAAATGTCACATGTGATTTCATGTGAAATCTTTTCATTTGTGAAATTTCACATGTGATTTCATGTGAAACTTTTTCACGTGTTAAATTTAATTTAATTATATATATATATATATATATATATATATATATATATATATATATATATATATATATATATATATATATATATATATATATATATATATATATATATATATATATATATATATATATATATATATATATATATGTATGTATATATAGCAAGTTGCTGCTCGGAAAAGTGATCAAAGCTTACACATTGTCCGTACAGCTGTCCACTTTCTCCAATCTCTTTCCGGAAAGTAAGAAATCTTTGAGATCCCTGTCCGAGATTGAAGGATAAGGAGTGTCGCCTAAAATATATAAATCTGAGTAGCCTCGTGCAACAAGAGAAGTTCTAAAATTTAAATAAATGGAAGTACGGGAGGAAAAAAAAGGCTATTATGTATAAACTTTTACGGCAAAACGTTTTTGTTTTTGGTTCTGCATGAACGGTTGTGAAATTTGTTCGAACAAAAAAATATTTCTCTAGCTGTCGCCTTCAATTTCGTTGACAGAGTATGGTTGTCGAGAAGTCGATAGGAAATGCTCTTACCTAACGTGCATATTTCCCACAATACAACTCCAAATGCCCATCTACAAATGAGAAATGACGCATATGTTAATATAAAAAATATGTAAGTTCGAAAAAGCCAAATGATGTTAAACAAATTGGTAACGGCTGGCTTTTACGTATTATGATTCTATTTTTAAATGATGACGTCACTTTTTTATATTAATTGAGGAACTTTGTTTTGCAAAATTTTGTTGGAATTAGTCGAAAACCAAAACGTGGTCTGAAAATGCTTATTGTAAGGAGCAAATTTAAATCGTACGACAAAATGTGACATGAAGACAAACGGAATTGCAGTGCACAACTTTAATTTGTGCATATTAGAACCAGATCGTTGAAATTTCAGCTGCTTGTAATTAATGTTTCTCTTTGTCCCCATGTCTACACAATGCACGTGATTTTATGTTTATCGCACCAACATTTTAAGGCTTTCCCCCACCCCTTTAAATGTTTTTTTTTTGTGTAATTCGACGTTAACTTTTCCGCCTAATAAAATTTAAACAACAAAAGTCATATTCAGCCTATATGCAGTTCAGATGACAGTATCGTTCACAGTTACTTTGTCATGTATTTCATTTGTTTTAATTCACTAGATAAGGATTGCTTTAATTGTGTGCATTTTATGCGAACGTTTATAAACTATTGCAACATTTCCATAGTAATAAAAAAGCAAACGAGTTGTGCGAAGGTAGAAAGAAATCGTCAAGAGGCTTGTTTGCCGGGTTTTAAATTTGATTTATTTGGAGTTTGTATTTTAGTATAAAAGTGTATACTAAGATAATTACACAACTCGGTCTGATTACCTATGGGGAATAATTGACACAGGCAACGCCTTCCTTAATTGATTATTCGTTCGAATACCCGATTTTCTTTGAAAATTTTAAATAAATATTTTTATTTCGAGTAGGCCAACTAAATTTTCCAGATAAAAGTGCTTAATTAAAGCTGAAATACATGTGCAAGATTCTATCCATATAAATAATTTAACAGAATGTTTAGTCGCTTTAAGCGATACAGCTCACAAATCACTGTAGATGGCAGCGGGATATCATGCCTTTACTATATATTGTGATAAATACAAAGTATTTTGTGAAAACTTTACTCACTTTTCTATCAGCGGTCCGGAAGTAGCAGTAGCTAGATACTTCAAGTTGAAACAACATAAAATAACACAATGTCCGAAACTGCATGGATGTTGAAGTATGATATTTGTGTTTTGTTTTTCTCAATTTTCTGCCAGGATGCATTGTGTTGATGATATGTATGGGAATTGAACTTACATTTGCTTTATTTAAAATGCGAGGTGTTCCAGTACGCAGTTATTTCTAGTTAATTGGTGTACTCACACATCACTGGCAGTGGAATAAGCTCGTTCTTCTATCGCTTCAATCGATAGCCATCGGAAAGGAATTTTCCCGTTAGATTTTTTTATGTACGTTCCCTCGCGTGATAAGCCAAAATCTGATATTTTTAAAACTTTTTCTTCACCAAGTAATATATTCCTTGCTGCCAAATCACGGTGAACAATACTAAGACCTGAAATATATTTCTAAAACAATAATATGAAATAACATATCATTACACGACTGTGATTTGTTGATTGAATAGCAGTTTGTTGAGTGACTTGAAGAATTTGGCCCAGGAACCAATACAGAAGTCATTTAATATTAGTGTTAAATGTCTCTCGCGTCAAAATTTTTATTTTCTCAAACGAAAGTTATCTTAGAACTGTATAGTAACTTGTTTTGAAGATTTTTGTTCCCATGCTTAGTTCTTGAGATATTTCATTTTGTTTGTAACTATGAGACGTCATCTACTCAATTACATATGTAATGGGATATCAGTAGTTGTTTTGTATCTTTGCTATTTTATCAAAATCTTTCCAAAGATACGGCGTGTTTGTTATTTTAACATACGTCATTAAGCGTTTACCTTTTTTTAAACAAATCCATCAAAAATAGAAAAGATACCAAACAATTACTGATATAATGGATATATATATTTGAGTAAATGACGCCACATGGTTACAAACAAAATGAAATATCTTGCAAGAACTAAACATGGGAACAAAAATCTTCAAAACAAGTTACTCTACAGTTTGAAGAGGTTTTTTGTTTAAGAGAATACAAATTTTGACGCGAGTGCCACTTTAATTATTATAAGGGTTATGGATTATTTGATTATAGACTTAAACCATTACGGACAACAAACATGTTGATATTGTTTCAGGAATTTTTTTTTAAATGCTGCATTGGTTTTAGACAATTTACAAGTGGAAGCAACTTACCATTCCAGTAGCAATTTGACGAGCAAAGGATTCCAATTCTTTGGGGTCCAAAGCGTATCGAATTTCGTCGTTTATTCTTGAAGCAATCTCGATGTTTAAATCTAAAGTGTAAGATAAATTGACATAAAATTTGACGTGAAGCACCATTTGTAGAATACTATATACATTGCATAGGACGTTCCTCGTAGGGACGTTCCCTAGCCTATCCAAAAAAAAAATGAAAAACAAATGTAAATAACTTCTAAATTGTTTCTGCGGGCGAAATAATAAAAAAAATATTGATTAAATATTTTTTTTATATATAACGTTAATTTACTTACAATGCAGAAATACTGCTAGCTCATCAATTTCTTCATCTTGTAAATATTTTTATTTGTTTGCATATTTTTGCGAGTATTTTTGCTTGAAACGTATAATGAATTAAAGGTTTCACATACTATTAATTAAACATTCTTGGATGATGTAATCTAGAATCGGCATGAAATCCGTGTACGAGATCATTTACGCTATCATACTTTTGTGACCATTTTTTGTTCAACTTTACCTCACCATGAAGACAAGAAGAGCAAAAATATTATTATTATTATTATTATTATTATTATTATTATTATTATTATTATAATTATAATAATAATAATAATAATAATTATTATTATTATTATTATTATTATTATTATTATTATTATTATTATTATTATTACTAGTATCCTTTGGAAGGATACTAGCAATCACAAAAATGTACAATATGACAAATACAAAAACACCAAGGACGTATTAAACACCATCAGGAAACAACATGAAGACAAGCTTCAACACCACCTCATTTCACAAGGCTCATTTTTCTCCAATATCATTAAACATTCTACACTCTCATTCAACTCTATATGGTCCTCCGTTCAGAGTAAACTTCCGAAGAATATATTTAACTTCACTATCCGGTATATAAATAATACTCTTCCGACTCGCAAAAACCTTCTGAAATGGGGAATATCACCAACATCCGAATGTTCGTTTTGTTTGAATCCAGAATCACTTCTTCACGTCGTCGCTGGATGCAAGACCTACCTAAATGAAGGACGTTTCACGTGGCGTCATGATTCGGTGCTTAACTTCATAGCATCCATACTTAAATCTGTGAACCATTGTAACCTTTATGCTGACCTTCCTGGCTATATCAGTCCATCTGTTATCACCGGAGATGAATTGCGCCCTGATCTTTTGATAACACTTGAAAACAAATGTATTTATATACTTGAACTTACCGTCGGATTTGAATGTAATCTCCTCACTAATGCAACTCGAAAAAGACAAAAATATCAAGATCTAATTAACGAACAGCTCAAAAATTATGAAAAAGTGAAATTTGTAAATTTATCGATTAGCTCATTAGGAGTTTTCAGCCACCCGTCGCTAGATTTCACCGAAATGCTGAAAGATCTAAAGTTTGATGAACAATGTAGAAAGTACTATGTTCGGAAAATTATTAATATATGTATCAGGTCCTCGTATTATATATTCTGTAAGCGTAACAAAGAATGGGATAACCCACAACTAATGTCATACTAATATTGTTATTATGTAGAGTGTTAATTCAAGTAGATACTGGTAAACTACCTGTAAAGAGAGGTTTATCATTGTAGTGTGTATATATATTATTGAAAGTAATAAAGTTTCCATTATTATTATTATTATTATTATTATTATTATTATTATTATTATTATTATTATTATTATTATTATTATTATTATTATTATTATTATTATTATTATTATTATTATTATTATTATTATTATTATTATTATTATTATTACAATATGACAAATACAAAAACACCAAGGACGTATTAAACACCATCAAGAAACAACATGAAGACAAGCTTCAACACCACCTCATTTCACAAGGCTCATTTTTCTCCAATATCATTAAACATTCTACACTTTCATTCAACTCTATATGGTCCTCCGTTCAGAGTAAACTTCCGAAGAATATATTTAACTTCACTATCCGGTATATAAATAACACTCTTCCGACTCGCAAAAACCTTCTGAAATGGGGAATATCACCAACATCCGAATGTTCGTTTTGTTTGAATCCATAATCACTTCTTCACGTCGTCGCTGGATGCAAGACCTACCTAAATGAAGGACGTTTCACGTGGCGTCATGATTCGGTGCTTAACTTCATAGCATCCATACTTAAATCTGTGAACCATTGTAATCTTTATGCTGACCTTCCTGGCTATATCAGTCCATCTGTTCTCACCGGAGATGAATTGCGCCCTGATCTTTTGATAACACTTGAAAACAAATGTATTTATATACTTGAACTTACCGTCGGATTTGAATCTAATCTCCTCACTAATGCAACTCGAAAAAGACAAAAATATCAAGATCTAATTAACGAACAGCTCAAAAATTATGAAAAAGTGAAATTTGTAAATTTATCGATTAGCTCATTAGGAGTTTTCAGCCACCCGTCGCTAAATTTCACCGAAATGCTGAAGGATCTAAAGTTTGATGAACAATGTAGAAAGTACTATGTTCGGAAAATTATTAACATATGTATATCAGGTCCTCGTATTATATATTCTGTAACCGTAACAAAGAATGGGATAACCCACAACTAATGTCATACTAATATTGTTATTATGTAGAGTGTTAATTCAAGTAGACACTGGTAAACTACCTGTAAAGAGAGGTTTATCATTGTAGTGTGTATATATATTATTGAAAGTAATAAAGTTTCCATTATTATTATTATTATTATTATGAATAGTTTAACACGGCACAATTTCACCTACTAAAAATAATTTTGTACACAATATAACCGTGCTCACACACGTGGAAATAAGAAATATATTATTTACAAGAAGATTATTTTAAATAGATAGAAACAATGGCCGGATCACTTGTTGTTAATTTTCGTGTTTCAAATTAGACTTTAAATTAGCAATAGTTGTCTTTTTTGTTTGTTTGTTTGTTTGTTTGTTTGTTTGTTTGTTTGTTTAATAAGATTAACACATAGCAGCCAAGAGGCTGAATTGCGTGCTAAATTTTACAAGAGAAATTATTAAATTAGTTATTCTATATTTACAGAAGTTTAAAATTACATTACAATTTATAATTCTATATTACAGAAGTTTAAAGTTACATTACAAATTAGCTATAAAACTAGTAAATTTCTAAAAAAATGTTAGCCAGTCTAAAACTGAATATCAGAATCGATTGTCAGTTAATATTATTGATATGCCTTGCAGATGAAGGGAAAAAACTGTTTCTAAATCTGTTCGTTTTGGTCTGAGGAACAACAAAAGACCTTGAGTGTCTAAGGTCGTAATTTGGAAAGTATCTAGATGGTACATGATTATGCATATTAGCTACTGGTGTTGTGGTGATTTCATTAAACAGTTTCTCGCATGCATCCACACGCCTGTCACTTAATGGTTTGATGCCCGATTTTTGTAAACAATCCGCATAACCTGTCAGTGGATAGATGATTGATAAAACACGCTTTTGAACCCGTTCCATGGCATTAGATAAGTAGGAAGGAAGGGCGAAGTGGAAAATTTGACAGCTGAATTCCATGACTGGTCTGACGCAGGTAGTGTAAAAATTTATTATGTCAGCTTCAGGTACATGAGCACGTTTCAACTGAATAATAAAATAAATCCGTTTGTTCGCCTTCTTAACTATGTTAGTTATGTGTTGGTTCCATTTTAGATCTTTAGAAATTGTCAAACCTAGGATTCTTGCGTGGTTCACTGTCTCGATTTGGCCTGAGATGATCTTAAGGCGCGGAAATTCTTTCTCAGGTTTTGTAAAACTGATAACAAGTTCCTTGCACTTGGAGGCATTTAATTGCATCTTGTTTTCTGCAGACCAATTTTGAACACAATCGACTGTATCTTGAATTTTACTGGGTGTGTTGATGTAAATGATTTCAGATACCGTAGCATCATCGATGTATTTCCATCGCTCATGATGTGGGGGGCGTAGGTCATTTATCATTAGGATGAATAACCAAGGTCCCAATTTGGTTTCTTGAGGGACACCGGAAGGAATGTCAATCCATTCAGACATACAGTCTCTTGCAAGTTTCACCCGTTGTTGCCTGTTCATCAGAAAGTCAATTACCCACCGCTTAATGAAATTTGGCATTGGCAATTGGATGATTTTCGTGGCTAAGATCTTATGATCAATCAAGTCGAAGGCTTTCTTATAGTCAAAAAGAACCACTCTTACAGCGTTTCCAGTTCCATCTGTGGCTTGAGTCCACGCATGAACCATAGAAATTAAGGCTTTTGTAGCAGATGATCGAGGGATGCCACCAAATTGAAAAGGATCAATTGACGACAACACTGCTGGAGCGATATAGTTTTCAACAACAAACTCTTCTGCAAGTTTAGACAGAACCGGAGTTAACGAAATAGGTCGCAGCTGTTTGCTTATGTCTTTAACAGGTTTCTCTTTCGGAATAGGTGTAATGTTAGCTTGTTTCCAGCATGAGGGCAGTCTTTTTTGCTTGTAGGACGAATTCAATAAGTCCGATACAGAGGGAGCAAGGATTTCGGCATAATCACGAAGAATCCAATTGGGGATATCATCCGGGCCCGGAGCTTTATGCGGGTTCAAGCTTTTCAGTTTTTTCAAGACCGATGCAGTATTTGTCAAATTCATGTTTACATCTAACGGATAATCAAGAATCTCCTCAAATAAGGTGTTCAAATCTGTAACATTTAAGGGATCATAAGTATTCATTGGTTCTATTAGGCTTTTGTTAATTAAATCTGCAAAACCTTTGTGTGTTAAATGTTCTGTATCTTCGACATGAAGTTGGTTAAGCAAACTGCCAGATACAGGTCTCATACCGGAGATACGTTTAACCTCTGTCCACCAAGATTTGGGGTTAGACTTTTTTAGATTAGCAACTTTTGAAGCAAAATAGTCTGCCCGGCAAGATTTTCTTATTCTATTCACTTTATTTCGGTAGAATTTGAAAAGAGTAGTGTTATTAGATGAAAACGCACGTTGTCGAAACTTGATCAGCTGTTTCAATTTTCGGTTATCCATGGGTTGTCGTTGCGATGGAATTTAACGTGTTTCTCAGGCATAAGGATGTCATAACCCGTCTTTATTGCGGAGCATAAGATATCACAATTCTTATCGCACGGTTCGGAGGAATCGATAAGTTGCCAATCAAAGTTACTCAGATATCGACCAAGTTCTTTTTTGCGTGATTGACGTATGTCTCTTTTTATTACTGTCTTTCTACTTGTGGTTTCTGATGATGTTTTAACTTTGGGCTCAACCATTATCACATTATGGTCTGATAATCCGAAAGGAGGGAAAACCATGGCTGGTTGTACATCGTAAAATTTATGCATGTTTGTAAGTATAATTAAGATCCAAAATCTTGGCACCACGAGTTGGTTTATCAACCAATTGTTTTAACTGAAAATCTCGGCAAAGATCTTTAGTGTCAAAGTGGTTAAAATCACCAGCAATAATAATTCCACAACCTGGAAAAAGACTTTCCAGTAGTGTCAGTGAGTCTGATAGGTATTGAAAAAGATCTGTATTGCAGGAACTTGGAGGATGGTAGACGCACGCAGAAACAATACCGTTAATTCCCCTTGGTAATCTTGGTGGTCTAATGTGTGTCCATAAAACCTCAAAGTCTAAATGTTCAATTTCAGGTAATCGTTTGAAACGGATGGAATTCTTTATGTACATGCAGACACCACCGTGGATACCAAGACTACGATCCCGCCTCACGAGGTGGTAATCAAATAAAGTCGCGTGGGTGTCACAAACGGACTCTCGCAGCCAAGTTTCAGTTATAAAACCCAAATCAAAACTTTGTGCAGAGGTCAAAATACGTAGCTCGTCAAGCTTAGGAACTAGAGACATGACATTAGTTAGCATAATTTTTGGAACGAATTCAGTTCTTGGAGAATGAGTTTTGGTAATAGGAATTTTAACAAGGTTACTGAGATTTCTAGTACACATTGGTTTGAGTCGGCCGAAATGCTGTCTTCTAGACCTTCCCATACCGTGTACTGTAGAAATGTTTTGCAAGGGTGTCTCCGCCATTATACAAGGGTTGAGTAGCTCCCATTCTGGGTCGAGTTTATTTTCTTCTGAGTTGTGTTCATGTCATGATCTTTTGGTCGCCATGGTTTGCAAGTAACAAACGTGGGCCAGAAGTTTTCCTTCTCCACCAGTGCACTGGCGCCTGAGGGTATATGGAGTTTACACGAAAGAGTCTCTCGACGGCGACTTCGAAAAACCGAGATATAAGTGGGAAAAATATTTCTTTGATTGAGGTAAGAAAGGATTTGACTTTTGTTTACACTTTCAGCGATTCCCGTTACGAACAATTTCTTAGTCTTACCACGTTTACGCTGTACTCCAATAAAATCATCAGGCGACTGTCCGGCCTCAGAAACCACACTCTGCGAGGTATGCTCCGAATTCTTGCTTAGGTTATTCTTGATAGGATCTTGGTGGTTTGTTTTGGTAGCGGTTTGATTAGCCGTTTTTTCTGCGTAGGTAGGGTGATGTGCTTTCGTACTATTATTATCTTCTATAGAAACATCAGCGGATGCACTATTTGGGTTCACTTCTATAGGATTTACGGAAGCATTCCCGTTTAACTCGTTAAACTGATTATTGTATTCTTCACGATTAATTGGCCTTGGTTCGGTGGTGCTCCCATTGTTCGTTCGAGGATTAGTCGATTCTTGTATGACAAAAGAATTATCAACACCAGCACTGTCGGCATTTACATAATCAGTAAGCTCGTTCGATACGCAAGGTTGCTTTGGCAAAGCGGAAATATCAGAATCAGTCTTGTTTTTGTTCACCAAATCTTGTAACTGAGAAGTTATATACGAGATAGAGGCCGATAGAGACTGGATTGCTTCGCCATTGATTTGTTGACCCAGTTTCAGATCTTCAATATCCGTATGCACATCATCACATAATTCATTTGATAGTTGAGTGTTGGCTGAGGCAAATACTTGTGAATTATTTGCATGATAATTACACATCCGTTTACATAATTCTTTCATGATTTCGGTCGCATTTTCTCCATTGATGGAAAGCAATCCCTTATTCTTTCTCCATAGTATAGTTGATGTATCACAACTAAACAACTTCCTATCACCTCCAGGCTGTTCCCAAGTTCCTTTGAGTTGTAAATCTTCACTTACAAACTGTTTTAGAGACTCATAAGTACCTGACCATGCAATGCATAGCTTATCGCTTAAGCTGGTTGCCATATTGTTCATTGTACAAATGAATAAACAACTTTCAATCGCTAATAATCGTCAGGATAGTCTTTCATATAATTTTTCATCCATTCAAGTGTGTTGTATTGGATTGTATTACAAAAATTTTGAAATTTTAGAGAGCTCAACAAAGCACGTCTGCTCGGTAGAGTACTATATATATTATATACTGGATTATTAACGCCCGAGTGTTAACTCGCCAGATCCTGCGTCGTTGCATCACCTGCCGTAAGAGGAACGAAGCTCCCATGAAACAGATGATGGGTGACCTTCCTATAGCTAGGCTTACTCCATACGAGCCTCCCTTTACCTACACCGGTTTGGACTTTTTTGGTCCGTTTTATGTCAAACGTGGTCGTGGCACCGAGAAAGTGTATGGTTGCATTTTCGTGTGTTTCACTACAAGGGCAATCCATATTGAAGATGTTGGATCACTGGAGGCAGACGATTTCATCCAAGCCTTGCGTCGCTTTATTTGTACTCGTGGTGCTGCCAAGGAGATATGGAGTGACAATGGGACCAACTTCGTTGGTGGAGAAAAGGAGATAAGATTGGCTATTCAGGGATGGAATCAGAAGGCAATAATCGAAGCTTTGCACGAAAGGGGAGTAGAATGGCATTCACAACCATTGAAGAAGTGGCACTTTCAACCTCCTACCGCTAGCCACATGTCAGGAGTGTGGGAAAGACTGATCAGAAGCGTTCGCAAGACCATGAAGGCCATTATTGGGCATCCGCACGCCTTTGTCAAGCGCGAGACGCTGCGTACAGTGTTCGCAGAAGCAGCTGGTATTCTCAACAGCCGACCTCTTTGTCCAAGCAGCGAAGATCCGAACGATTGTGAACCAATCACGCCAAGTCATTTCTTACAACAACGGCAAGGTCTCGCAGTACCTCCTGGTTTATTTCAAGACACAGAAATCCATTCTCGAAAGCAGTGGCGCAGAGGACAAGTTCTGGCCAACCACTTCTGGGCGCGGTGGATTCGTGAATATCTTCCCATTTTCCAAGAAAGAAAGAAGTGGATGACGAAGAAACCAAATTTGAGAGTGAATGATCTGGTGCTTTTGGTGGATACAACTCAGCCTCGAGGACATTGGCATCTTGGACGAGTAACCAAGGTCTTCTTCGGAGCGGATGGTTTGGTACGTACGGCAAAAGTAAAGACAAAGATATCGACTTTGGTGAGACCAATTTCTAAGTTGTGCTTATTAGAGGAAGCACTTTAAACAGTAGAACCATAACTCTTATATATATATATTTGAACGTTTCATAGCGACCGTTTCAACGGGGGGACTATGTTGAGGGTAGCTCAACACTTCCGGTCAGTGATCGAAGTTTAGCGAGTTTCCGGTGAACATCCGGGGTTTTCGACGAACATAAAACGTTTTTGTTGTTTTGTTTCGAAGGATTATATTTGGACTTTAATAGCAAAAAACTAGCTTTAATACGGGATTATCGACATTCGGTAAGACATTTAAAGTTTGATTATGTATTTCTGTCCTATATGTGAGCATTTTGTTATGTAAGAACTGTAAATTGTTTGTAAATTTACGTATATATTTAGTGTATTTTATGTATTTTCATATTTTTGTTAGAATAAAACAAAGTCAGACAGAAACGTCAATTGTCACATTCGGGTCGATACAAAATAACAAGCAAAGAAAGCGTATAGGGTCAAAGCACCTATACAAGTTGAGATAAGAAATAGTCATTCATTAATTCTAAGAATGAAATTTCATTGGCTCCTGTTGTATTTTCTGGGGAATTCCAGGAGATATGTGGCATATTAAAGTCGCCAACAAGAATGATATTCTCATAGCAGCTGCAAACATCATTTAGATAGTGGTTAAAATTGTTGAGCCAATTTTGATCAGCGTTTGGTGGACGGTAGCAAGAGCAAATCAAGAGTCGACTATTTGAGGATGTAGTTATTTCAGCAGAGATAATTTCTAGATATTGATTTTGATGAACTTCTCGCACCGACTTAAAGGAATCAGTTTTAATTGCAAGTAATACTCCACCGCCTCGAGTTTCGCGATCTTTTCGAAGTATAGTGTAATCGGAGTTCAGGATTTCTGAATTATCAATGTTTTCATTGAGCCAAGTTTCATTGACACAAACAATATCAATTTGTTCAGAATAAACTAAGTCTTGAAAGCAGTTTAGATTGCGGACAGTTTCAGATTCTGTTAGTATATGGGTACTCATCAAACTACGGGCATTCATGGCTAAGCATTTTACTGACCTATTTACATGGGCGTTACAGGGACCAGGGTTAATAGCAACGTCTCCTGACAATAAGATACATAACAGAACGTGCAAGTTATTATTCTTGATTTGAAACAGCAAGCCATAGCGATGATTAGAGGATAATGAACATTTCCTTATGTTTGTATCACGTGTTGATATCCAGATGTGGCTTAGTCTGCCAGATATGGATATAAGTTCTGCAGAAATAATAATATTCTTTGACGTTGTGGAGGTGTTTTGTGAAACTAGTACCGGTTGAGATCGAGGTAAAAGCCAGCGACATAAAGCAAGGAATAAGAGCCAACCAGAAGTCGAATTGGGCAAGCTTCGGGGAGTGGGCAAGTTCATTGTATTAACCTTTTAATGCGGGGAAATCCCCACGAGTGAAACCAGATATGTTGATCTGTGTGATAGTATTCGCAGCGACCACGTCCACGAGAATACAAAAATTAGTCACCGAAAATTGCACCCAAAAACCGCAAAATAAATGAAAATTGTGCTGTTCGCGAGATAAATGGAAAACCAAGATAAAAAAAATCACTTTCCGCAGCCAGAACTATGATACAACTCCGCAAATCCTTTGAGTTGTTGTTGCTATGAAACGCAACGCCAGACAAAATTTAAATTCAAAAGTTTAAACGGTCAAAATAATAAAAGTACGATGAATCACGAACAGTACATCCAAATAACACAAAAATTACACACGAGATCAGGAACACAATTTATAGATCACTTAGAAAGTTACAGGTGAATAGAACAAACGATGACAAAGATATTGAATATATGAACCAAATATCGGGTTGTACTGTGAGCATCACAGCAATATCATACAAATCACCAAAAGATAATCCCAAATAATTCCTTTCGACTAAATTTCACCAACTTCTAAACACCATGAGTAAACAAACCAGATCTTTAGCTTTAATTTGATTAGTAGATCACCAGTATAAATTGAAAAAAGACTTATTTAGGGCCAGAGAAAAGCAGAGGTCACTCGACCGTGAACCTAAAGTCATCAACTCTCTTTGAAAGACTTAAAGACTTAAAAGACTTAAAGGCAAAAGACAAGACAACAACGATAAACCAATACATACTACGACTGCAAAAAACTCTACGCCAATACAGACACATAATACACAGCAGATTATGGGAAACATGCATACACCCATACAAACTGACATAGCAACATATTACACTAACTCTATGACAACATTTAACAGACCGCACATTCGCCCAAGAGGCCGACTGACACCCACAACAACACGATCAAACTTCCTTTACAGACCCAACACACCAACACCTCTAATACAATTAACCCACTACAACAACCAACCCGATATCCACTGATACATACAACTACAATAAAAGCTACAAGACACAACTTCTCACCGAGAACAAACACCATAACACACCCATTACTATCAAATCACATCCAACAACATTAAAAATTTTATCCAACCGAGACACATCCTAGACTATCTTCAGAACAAACAAAGGACCAACAACAACCGAAAATAACAATAACCAAACCAAAACTACTACCACAACTACAGAACAAACGAATCCAAAACGGAAACAGACACAAAACAAAAAAACAACTACTCAATAAAATCCAAAAACAAAAGGCAGGGGATAATATAATTAACTTATCCAATATACATGTCTCGGATGCTACTAAAAGCATACTAAACAAGGGACTTAAATTTGTTCCCAAACCTA